GGGGGGGGGGGGGGGGGGGGGGGGGGGGGGGGGGGGGGGGGGGGGGGGGGGGGGGGGGGGGGGGGGGGGGGGGGGGGGGGGGGGGGGAGGAGGAGATAAATCCGAGTGATGGGAGAGGGTTGATAAAGCGATAATGGGGTGAAGGAGGAAGGAAGAAGTGATGGTGAGAAGAGGGAGGGAGGAGTGATGGCGGGAGTGAGGAAAGGTGATGGTGAAAGGTGGGAGAAAGGCATGAGGGATGGTGGGAAGCAGATTAAGGTCGGAAGGAGGGAGAAAAGTGGACGGAGGGAGGAAAGATGATTGTGGGAGGAGGAAAAGGTTTCTGGGGGATATATATAAAACTCCGACGAAACAGTTCGTCACAGCCCCTCGTTTGTTTTCTCTTCTCTCTCTCTGCCTACGGTTTACCGGGCAGTTCTATTTGTGACGATATATATACGATATATATATATATATACACAGAGAGAGAGAGAGAGAGAGAAGTCTTTCGAGACTTGACGCTAAAATCGGAATGATACAGAGAAGGTTAACAAGGCCCCTGTGCAACGATGACACACTTCAATCGAGAAATGCTCCATTTTTTTGGGTGGAAAAACAGGAGAGAGAGGACAGGACGAGGAAGTGAGCGAGCAACAGAGAGAGAGAGAGAGAGAGAGAGAGTCCGTTTTTTGGGGGGGGAGAAAAGGAGAGAGAGGATGGGACGAGGAAGTGAGCGAGCAACACACACACACACACACACACACACACACACACACAGGTCCTTTGAGACTTCCGCTAAAATCGGAATGATACAGAGAAGATTAACAAGGCCCCTGTGGGATGACGACGCGCTTATGGTCCATTTTTTTGGCGGGGGGAAAAGGAGAGAGGCGATGGGAGGAGGAGGAAGTGAGGGAGCAACAGAGAGAGAGAACGAGAGAGAGAAGTCCTTCGAGACTTCCGCTAGAATTGGAATGATACAGAGAAGATTAACAAGGCCTCTGTGCGATGATGACACGCTTCATTCGAGAAATGGTCCATATTTTTTGGGGGAAAGAAAGGAGAGAGGATGGGAGGAGGAAATGAACGAGCAACAGACACAGAGAGAGAGAGAGAGAGGCTTTACACACCTGGCAACTGTCGGAGATGAGGCCTTGCTCCTCCTGCTGGTCGTGTTGTGCGCTGGCAATGGCTGGACAACAAACCCGGGGGGCTACTGTTGCTACACGGGAGATGTGAACCCGATGACGCGATGGGCAATGCATGGCGGGCGTGAAGGAGGACACAGCTTCAGGGGCACATAGGTGGACAATCGGGGTCTCCCGCCAGCCTGGGGCAGCCCCGAGTACAAAATCGAAGGTGCTTTGAGGTTCCCTTTTTTTTGGGAGGCCTCACATGGCCTCGATTTATTTATGTATATTTTTTGCCTTGGTTCACAACTTCACACGATATCCTATGTAACTTTTTTTTTTTTTTTGGCGACCCCTTGTTTTTGGGGTACGCTGCACCCAGTGCGCATGAGTCCACGCCGGATGTGCCCATGTATGGAGTATACCCACGTCCAGACCCAAGTTCGAATCCAAATGCAAGCAGATGAACAGCACAAGATAATTCTGAACTGCCTGCAGCTGCTCAGTTCAATGATGGCAGATCTTAAACCACCATTACTTGGCCCAGCTATCGGTGCCAAGCCTGGAATTCCCCTGCGCGCCAGTTTTTGCCGAAGCGCAGGGGTATCGTTTCAATTTTTTTTTTGCCCGGTGCTTCCCGGTATTGTGGTCCGGTACCCCGAAAGCCCTAAAGGCGCAGCGAGAAACGAGCGCCGCGGCCGATAGCTGGGCCAAGTACTGGTGGTTTAAGGCTGTCACCCTGGAGGCGTAACGAAAGGAGATGGAACACGAAGACATGAGTATATACCAAGGAAGCACAGGAGAGGGATGTGAGTGTTCAATTGGGCGGAGGGGTTGTTATAGCTGCGAAGATCTTGCAGGAGAATTAGGAATGAAGGTGTTGTTGTGAACTGTGGTGAGGACCAGCAAGACTCGCAAAGATTTGAAGTAAGCATTTGAAAACAAGTGATTGAATTGTGGGAATATATCAGATGGTTCTCCAATAATTTTGGACGATCGCCCCTTTTTCGGCAATGCATTTCAGGGCGGAGGTCCGGACGGGTGGAGACACCATTAGTGCCAGCCTCTACCTGGAGAGGGGTGGGGTGCGGGCTTGACAAATCATTGTGAAAGTTCTGATGGCCATTGTGGATGCTGCGAGATCACGATCTTTGGGGGTCATAGACTTTTGTGCTTCACCGTGTCCCCACCTCTATGGAAAATGTTTGGCAATATATTACCCTCTTCACCCGAATACAATGTGTGGTCGGAATTGCTGTATCTAGACCTGTAAGTTGCTCTGAATACACAGCTATAGGAACTGTACGTTGTATGTATCTATCTTCTATATCTATCTAGATAACTACTGAAGGAAGGATAGGGTCCCGTAAGATCTTCCCCTGGGCCCGGAGAAAATGAGGCCCGCACGTTGGTTGGATGGGACAGATGTACTGCCCCGTTCGTACGTTTTTTGTTTTTTGGCCGGCGGGCGGCGCGTTCGTACCTTTTTTTCCAGTGGTGCTTGGTACAGTTGGTGTTGGCGCGGCTGTATGAACGGGGTCCCCTTTCGCTGTCGGTTTGGTTCATGCCGCGCCCTCGATTGCAGGAAGTGTTGTAAGGCAGGTGTCTGGCAGATTTCCTGTGCATTTCTTCGGTTTTGCGGGCGGGCATGCCACGCCGCATTCTGGATTATCCAGACACTAATTCTGGATGGAATGCACTGAGTAGTTTTGGCTCTTATCTTTATGTGGTAGAAATTTTAGTGTCTTTTTTTATGGTGGTTTATCTCACTTTAACCAGTGAAGTGCGTGCTCTGCAAGCGCTTTGGGCAGTTGAGCCAAATTCAACTACACTTGACTGGATGGTACAAAGTCCTGCACCTTTGAAGAACTTCCAGCCACCAAAGAAACAAATAACAACATTGAAATTCAAACAAAATTGTTGTCACTTCGCTGTTAATTAAAGTCAAGAGTAGTCCGTTTTTCTTACTGAAATTGCATTGCCCCCAACTTGGGGGCAATGATCACCGTCTCTTAATACACGTGAGCATGTATAATATACTTTGGCAAAAGAAAAGCCCCGAATCCTCAGTCCGGGGATGCATGTTGCACATACTGATAATGATTAGAGTCTTCATCAGAGAAAGCGGCACTTAACCAGTGGGCTTGTCTACAAACAAGAGTGAATGTCATTCACACAGAACAGAAGGCAGATGGGCAGGCTCGAAGAAAAGAAAAGAAACGAAAGAGTGACTGCCATACGTAATTGCCCCGATCAAGGTGATGGCGATTACAGTCGCGCACTGATCCGTTGTCTACTTAAACCACCAGTACTTGGCCCAGCTATTGGGCTGCGGGGCTTTCCCGTTATCGCGCCGTGCCTTTAGGGCTTCGGGGTACCGGACCACAATCCAAAAAATTTTCAAAACGGTTCGCTTTGGCGAAAATTGGCGCGCAGGGGCATTCCAGGCTGGGCATCGATAGCTGGGCCAAGTGCTGGTGGTTTAATTTCACAAGCTCTCTCTGGCGAGTGGCCTCTACCAGGCAGTGTATATTTCCATGTTCTTTTCTTTTTCTTTTTTTTTTTCTTTTTTGAATATCTCTCGGGGTGCGAGGACTCCGTCTATTGGTGGGGAGCTTCGCCTTCTGGAAAGCAGGTCCAACGCCCCATATAAACAATACAAATGCGAATGTCTGAGAACAGTGACCGTGGGCCCTGCCAGCATTGATTGCCCTGCGACCCAGGGGATTGACTGAGCAGGCCTATACAGTATATAGAATGCTGTGGGGGATCGGATTGAATCTGTTGGAGCTGTTGGCTCTCATGCTGCACAAAAGCCTTCGTCGGTACTGATCAGCCCCAGCCACATGCCACTGATGAGACATCCACCATCTAGATCCTCGGTTCCTTACCCACCACTGCAACCCTCCAATCCCCTGCCTGGTGTGATTTTGGTGTGGTCTTTTTTTTTTTTTTGGTGTGGTCTACTTCTCACTCCCCTTGCATTCTATCTTTCGCCACTAACCCCCGG